ACTTCATCTGAGGATGCAAGCGTATAAAAAGCAATTTATTTGTTGTTTTGCCTTTAGTCTTTGAGAAGAGATCAGATCACCACATTATGGAAAGCTACTTCCCCTAGGAAATCATTTCTGACTTGTTATAGAAGTACTTCACAGCAAACACAAAGTCATTCATTTTGTAAAGGGCTTTTAGTAGAGAATTAATTGCTTTAAATATTACCAGTGGAGAGGTAAAACATAGGATATTTAGGGAATCAAATAGCAGTTGCTGAAAAATCCTGTAGGGTCAAATTCTGGGATGGTGTAAGTCAGCATAGCTCTACTGAAGTTAAAGGAGCTAAGATGAGTTACACTAGCTGAAAATCTGACCTCTTACATTTCCCAAGAAGCTTAGATGTTGCCAACATTGGAAGGGGGGGGGGGGAACAAACACATGGGTCTACTTTTTTATATCACTCATTTCTGGTTTTGATAAGGCAGGAATAGTATCTAAGAATCTGATCAGAGGCCAGGTCCACAATAGGAGACAATGTCAATCTAAGGTATGCAACTCCAGCTACGTGAATAGCATAGCTGGAGTCAACGTATCTAAGTTTGAGTTATTGCGTCTTCATCTCCACCACAGGGGCGGGAGGTGTCAATGGGAGAAACTCTCCTGTCAACTACCCTTACTCTTCTCACTCTAGTGAAGGGCTAGAGTTGACAAGAGCACAATCAGCAGTCAATTTAGTGGTTCTTCACAAGTCCTGCTAAATCAACCCCAGGGAATCAATCCCCTCAGCACCAATCTTCTGGTAAGCGTAGACAAGGCCTTAGTCTCAGGGAATATACATAAGATTGTGAAGTGGGACTAAAGATTGTTCCCACAGAGGGCAATCATCAAAAATGCACGTTGCTCAATACTACTTTATACATACAGCATCTTTGTACTAATGATCACAAAGTGGTTAAAATAAGACATGGAAAACAGAGATTAAGGGTTCAGTCCAACCCTCATTAAAGTCAATAGAAAGATTCTCATTCATTGTAGTGAGAAAAGGGTTGAGCATGCTACATAAGACTCAAGAATACGCAGCAAGTCAGTGCAAGCATCTGGAACCCACTCAACTCTGCTGTCACAGGAGTCTTGCCTCCTTTTCTGCCGCCTTCCGTGCCAAGTTTAATGCCAGATTCAGGTTTAGATGAGTCTTAACTAGTCTGCAGCAATTCTGCCCTTAATTTTCATTGGGAGTAAATCTGAATCACGAAGAATGCAATATACTATGTTGCTGGCTGTTCATGTAAACAGATGATTATCTGTTTCAGGGTAAGAGGAGATGGCTCTAGAAGAAGCATAATTCAAGTTGTCAGGGGTCCCATGGCAATTTTTTGGAGCTCTTATAAATCTTGTTCAGTAAAGTGAAAGAAAGTGGTTGCAAGAACTTCCATAAAGGCACTTACTTCTCCTGGTGGCAGATTTTGGAAAGGTGGGCATCTCTTTTAATGGAGAAGAGAAGCAAAATGGGGAGGTGAGGTGGACTCCTGGATCCAAAGCCATTTTACACACTGGTTCAAGATACTGTACTGCACCCATCTGACTCTCTCTGACAGGCCAGAGCATTAAAAGATAGCTGAGACAACATGAATTCTCATAGTCAACTTTCTAGTTCTCAGGCAGGTTTTGACAGGCTTTACTCTTACAACATAAAGGTAACTAGATTCCAAGTATTTAAAAGGCTGGCTCTGCACAGCTGCCAGGGGCAGTTGCATTGACTAGACTATAGCTAAGTTGTCTTTTTTAGCCATAAGAACCCATCCAAACCAAAATGGAAAATAGTTGGTATTTTCAGGCAGGTCAAAGGAACAGTCATACCAGGACAAACCAACCTGGCTTGGTATTCCATCTCCAACAACTGTGGATCATAGATGATTCACTGAAAGATAGAAAAGTCTGCAAACATGTAATACACCTCACCTGGTATGCACAATATATTTGGCCCTCAGTGATCAACTTACCCCCTGAGGTATGAGAGTTAACTACCTCATTCTAATATACCTAACAGCTTTGTAAAGAATATAAAAGGAACCTGTTATTTCAACAGTGACCTCACTACAGCAACTAATCACAATAACTTGCTACATAATTAACACTCAGTGTTACTACAAACAATGGATAATAGGCTAATACAACATTAACTTTGACAACTGAAACATACAAAAGTTAGGGAAATCAAGAATTAATGTTTCTGTTAGAATATTAACACAGGTGCATTGCATGTGTGGTGTTCTGGATCACTTATGGATGTGTACGTACATTGGGGTTGGGTGTGGGTTTTTTTCCTAAGTTTTCCTGACATTTAAAGATTTACCTTAAGAATGAAGTAATGTGGTTTTTTGCATTTCATTTCCTTGGCTTAAATACTATGTCTGACATCAGTTGAGAGACATCCCCCTCCCCCATCCCCAATACTAAAGCTCTTCCAGAAAACTGTTCCTCCCACACAAATGTTCTCACTATATCTGCCCCCCTCTCTGGAAATCTACAATCATGAAATCACACAGGTAAGTGTGAGGTGGCCTGGTTGGATAAAACTGGAGGGATTCTTCAAATGAGAAGGAGGTTGTCAGGTGCTCACCAGCTGTGAGTTATTTTTTTTAAAATCAGCCACAGAAAATAAACATAGAAAACTGGTTTACTGAATATTGCATCAGAGTATTAAGTTAAACCCATCTAACATCTGCAGATTGGATAACAGTAAAAGTTTTGGTTTGAAAATGCAGGTCAAGTGCACTGAATAAATGACTGGTAATTAAACATTCAGGCAGGGTCTGGAGGGTTTCTTGAGGTAGGCTGGGTGGGCACAGAACTTCTGAATGCATTATGCTTTCAGAGCAAAAACAACTTGAAACGGACTGCCAGCGTAGAGAAAGAGACAACAGTTTTCCAAGCTTGTTGCTGACACGGTTTGGATTCTACCATACAAACTGGAGGGTAGAAAATAAAGTGTTCTAAACTTGCATGTGAGATGTCACTTCCAAATACCCCAGAAATTAAGGCAGATTTTCAGCTCAACCCAGCCCTAACCATTCTCAAGGGCAGCAGTGTGTGCTGTCCCAACTGAACCAAGCTGTACCATTAACAACTGTGGTAGGTGGAGGCACCAGGACACAGACAGGTTAAGATGGTAGTAAACCTGGTATCAGAGTTTTCAGTTAACCTGGAATGGTGCATGAAGTTTTACAAAGCTCTAATTTTATTCCTTGTTTTTTTTCCAGACTTGCGTAAGTGACTAGTCATTGAGGACTAACTAGATACATCGTATGAATTTTTAAAACCAGACTAAGTTTTAAAATATATATAAAATTGTTCAATATTTAAGTACTAGACATTTTCCATTCATTAGTGGCTAGATTTTGATCAAGTTTTGAAAAGAAACAAACTCACCTCTTCTTGCTGAGACTAAATAATGGACATTTCAACCAGAAAGGGTTGTTTGACAAAAATACAGACACTTGAAAACAAGATTTTAAAAGTTGGCTATTCAACTCAAACCTAGTTACAGCTGCTTTGCAATGTTCCAATTTAGCATACTATGGACTCCTAATTTACAATTCATTTTCTAACCATAATAATTTGTATAGAATCCATATACCTGTAAGTGCTTTACAAGGATGCGTACATATCCCCATTTTACAGATGATGAAATGAAGACACACAGACAATGAGACTTTTAAAAATAGTCACATAGCATGTTAGTGAGAAAACTGGGAATAGAACCCAGGTGTCTTACTCCCAGTACTGTGGCCATGTTTCAGTGGATTTTTTTGGCCCTGTTGATTTACTATCACATGGGAACCGGAAGCATTTGGAATTCTGTCTCACTTCTCTCAGTATATACTTAAGATGCACATAATTTATGTTTCATTACAAGCACACACCCTATTAATGGTCAGGCAAGGCAGGCAGGCTAGCTCAAGTTCAATATTCCACAGGGGACTCTTCAGAAAGACACCAAGCTAAAACAAGAAGGTGTTACAGATCAGCATGCCCTTGCCCAGGTTCTCATCTTTGTGAAAGAAGGCTCACCAGACAAAAAATCCTTTTAGCAGGAATCTTAGGAGCTGAGCTTTCTTCCCAGAGAGAAAAAAAAATCACTAGATAATCAGATGATCACAAAAACCCAAACAAGTTTAAACAGATGTGCAACAAACATTACAGCACTGACAGGCTGAGATCTGTAGAGGAGCCTGAAAACTTGAGACCAAAGGCTATTTAAGTCACTAAGAGGTGGGACTGAATTCAGAGTTAATTCAAGGGGGGGAGGGGCGAGAAGATTTTCTTTTCGCAACTTTTACCAAATTCCACAGTAAAAACTTTGCGAAAAGGTCTATAAAGCGAGACAATGGATCTTTTTCTTTTAAAAAAAACCCTGCCAAACACTGGGCTTTCTTGAGTCAAACTGAAGCAACTGATTAAGTTTAAACCGAATCGGTATTAAAGCTACAGCATCACCCCCACCTCCCTGTCCCTACGGCATTAAGCCGAAACTGACTGAACTAACGGGCTTTCACCCCGTTTAAAAATCTCGGCTTTTGTGTCACAGCTGGGGGGAGGGGTGCAGTTACTGACTCGCACCGAGCCAGAAACGTGCGACCCAATCCAAAATAAAGAGTTCACGCTGGCTGCAAAACTTGCCCGGCGAAGTTCCCCTCATGTAAGTGCTCTAGTTCATACAGCAGCTTGTCTGGAGATCCCTTCCTCTTTGTGGACGCTTTCAGATCATTCCAGGAGGAAAAAAAAAATATGAGGGCTAGAGAGTTTGAGCCATGTGATCGTAGCTACATACCGAAAGCAGATCAGCCTTTTGAAAACGTGCAACCAGGAACAACGTCTATCCTTTGCTACAACTTGGAAAATATTTTCAATCGCAAAGGGGGGAGGGGGATAAGTGGAGGACTTCCATTCATTTATAAGAAAACCCGGGGGAGGAAAGCACCGAGATGGTTCCGATGTCCTGCCGCAATCTCCTTACCTTACTCTTCACTTCCACCGCGCTACAATCGAAATACCGCAGAGTCTGAGATTTATTAAAACTCCGATTCATCTTCTCGGTCCCGTTTATCCCCCCCTTCGTCCTCCTTTTCGCCCTTGCTCAACAAGGGCTGCAGGATCCGCTGACTCCCACTGTGGGAAAGTTTTCCCCCCCACCGGCTGCGTGTTGTTGCCGCTGCTCCGGCCCTGGAATGTATCTTTCTTTGGAACGCTCAGCCGCCGGAGGTTCTTTTACTTTGTCCCAACGCTCGAATCAGAGCGCCCGCCCAGCTCGCTCTCCGGGCTTCTGTTTGTAACAATCGCTCCAGCAGAGCTCGCAGCAGCGCGCCCGTGACTCAATGGGAGGAGGTGGCACGTACTAGACCCCGCCTCCGACAGAACCTCCCCCTTCCAGCCTCGTCTCTTTCAGTTCCCGAAGAGAAAGACTCCTACCGAGCTCCAGAGTTGTGCGCTTTCTGGCCTGTGATTTGTTGCAGAAATCCCTAGTTGGGCTTAGGGAAGTCGCTCTCAAGAGGGGGATCTGCGGACAGGGGAGTCAGTGCAGTAGAGGAGCATGCAAACCAAAAGCCGGGGGCGAGGGACAGATTAGCTCTTCTTCTCCCTCTCGCAAATTTGGAGACATTTGGATGTAAACCTATGTCTGTGCAATGTTTTTACAAGTGATAAAGCAAACTACTAACAGGCACAATTACCATGAAAATTTAGCAGCCCCGGCTAGTACATTAACTAGTTATAATATAGGGTTATAATAATAGTGCCAAGCCTAAGGTTTTGATCCTGCAAATATTTATGCATATGTTTTGCATTAGTACCATTACTATTACTACTGATGGTGAAATTCAATAAAACTACTCACATTAGTACAAGTTAAGCGCATGTGTAAAGTGTTTGCAAGATTGGAGAAAACAGTGTGAGCCCTGCCCTTGTGCAGCTACTCAGGAAAAATTAAAATGTGGTGCAGCTGATTAGTTGAACAGCCACAGCTAGATTGTTTGTTTCTACTAGTAGTGTGCATTCATACATAACATTTATTCTGCACATGGATGGAAAAAATCCACACATGAATGGGAAAGATTAGAGGGAACATTAGGCACAAAGTGTTCAAAAATCACAAGGCCCCAAAAATCATGATTGGGACTTTTGAAAATTACCTTTTGGTTTTGGAGCCTGTAGCATTCATATTTTTCAAGTTTATCTTTGCAGCCATAAGGGCAGTTAAAAATGTACCTGATTTTAAAATGTAAGGTGGTAGTTTCATCACATAACTCAAGGAACTGGCCCTGTAAATAGGGTGATCATATTGCTCTGTGCTGAACATGGGACAGCTGGTACAATTACTCATACTCAGGTGAGATCAGTGGCAATCAGATCTATGCAGAACCAGCTTTCAAATTAACATCAAGCTGACTGAACCCCTGTTAAACATAAATACTGCATAGCTGGAGTCTTTTTATTTACCTTCTTAACTTTAAGGATTTAGGGTTCACAGGGGGAAAGAGACACACTCTCACATACTCTCTCTTCCCCTTACCCCCGTAAACCTAGGAGTGAAAGTAATTTAAATTTCTTACAGGCACTATCACAACAGGGAAGACTTATGGTAGGATGGGTTGTGATACAACAGTGCCTGCAAAATTTCAGTGTGAGGTGGAGTATGAGGGGTTCAGGACAGAGGATTGGGATGTGGAGGGGGAGTGCAGGAGTTAGGGTAGAGGATTGGGGATGCGAAGGGTGCAGGAGTCAGGGTTGGGGTGTATGAAGGGCTCAGGATATAGGGCTGCACAGATTTTGGTGACAAAATGTATCACGGTAGACTAAGCCTTACTGTATTGGAAGTGCATGGTTACCTGTAACGTACCAATGGTTGATTATTTTCACTTTTATGGGTTAATTGCTAAAATTAGGAGAAACAACAAGCCCATGAAAGCTTATGCCTAAATAAATGTGTTAGTCTTTAAGGTGCCATAGGACGTCCTTCTTGTTTTAGCTGAAACAGACTAACACAGTTGCCCCTCTGATGTTAGGAGAGTCCAAAAGGGCCTTTTGCCTCAGGTGTCTGTAAAATGACTCCAGTCAGTTTCAGCATTCAAAATAGCTGTTTAAGGACTGAGTCTTCTACAGGAATCTTATAGATCAAGATTTCCCAACCTATGGGCCGGGACCCAAATATGGGTCGCCATTACATTTCAAAAGGGTTGCCAGGTGTCTCCCCAGGTGGCTTTGAAGGAGTCATTCACACATTTTTTTGACTTGCCCTGGGTCACCAAGTCTTCCTGAATTGTCAAAATGGATCCCCATCTGGAAAAGGTTGGGAACCGCTGTTATAACTAGATCCACACTAGTTAGTGGTTTAATGCCTGGAACAATAAGGGCTCTCTCAACCATAGTGACTGCTGTCTTCCACCTTGACTATACAGAGTCATGAGCACATCTACCTGGCATTGCTTGGGTTCTTAACTCAACTAAATATGTGGGTTTTAAAAAAATTAAAAAAGGAAAATGTACATGCTTTATTTATATGCTTGTATTTTTCAAATATACAAGTGTTATTTTTATGAAGTTAATTTTTATTTTGCATTTCCTTAAAAAGGGATTGTCAATTTTTCCATGTAATTGTTTTTAGTAATTTTTTAAAATGGGATTTCATCAAGCATATTTTTTTCTTCATCTCTATGAACGCTTGTAATCTCCCCAGCCAGAGTGAGGAATGAAGAAAACTGTGGACTTTCTCCTTGCTCCTTGGCAGTGATGAAGGGGGAACAGCTAGCTACATCCCTGTATGAATCTGGGGTGGGGGGTGCTTCAGCCCCTCCCTGGCCTTCCTAAAGGGTGTCTCAGGGGTGGGGAATGGGAGGCTTAGTTCTGGAGCAGTCCCAGGTGACGGGGTGGGGTGCCCCCAACCAGCCCCTTTCAACCTGCCAGGTGATTCTGTGTCTTTTTCTGTTTGGTTTTATGAGAAACAGTCCCATCCCAGGGACATCCTATTTTCCTGGCACAATCAAACCCTGACCTTGCTTTAAGTTATAATAAGAGGAAGCTGTATACTGAATTTGGTGGTCTTAGCTCTTACTGTTTAGAGGAGTTCTTGAACTAACAGAGACAGACAGCCGAACTCTATAAAATATATAGTAAATTATCTGTCAACAAATAGCGAGACACATTAGATGCATTTAGTCAATTAGCAGAGTATCCAGTCTAGTCTGACATCACATGGAGAATTAAATCCTGACCTTATTGAAGTCAATGGAAGTTCTGCAATAGACTTCAGTGGAACCATGATTTCATCCTAGGTGCATTCTGCACATATATGAGATGAGGCCTAAAATGAGACTACTGTATTCCAAAGGCCTTACCATGTAGGTCAAAAAAATGAAACACCTCATCTAAGCAGTAGGGAGTGGGCTATGCTTGTTGCAGTTGAAAGTAGTTCTCTATATCCTACACACAAGGTGAGAACAATTAGGAAGGTGATATTTGTGGCCTGCTGGTAGTGCTTCTTCTTTCTTGCTTGCACCCTGTCACTGTATGGCTCCACTGGGACAGGTATATAAGTGTCGCTAGAAAGACTGAGTCTTGAAACCATGGGCATTTGGGGGGAAGGAAAATACCATCCCCACCCCTTCTGCCTGAGGCCCCGCCTCTGGAGCCAAGCCCTGCCCACTCCCAGCCTGATCTTTCCTGACCACCTGTAGAGCCGGGGTTGCTGATCTGCAGCCCTGGCCTGGCCTTTCCTGGTGTCTGGGGAAGCCGGGCTGCTGTGCCATGGCCCCATACTTCCCCAGCAGCCGGGCTACTGAGTCAGGATGCCATGCTGCAGTTCCAGCTTCCCCTGGGGGACTAGGCAGGGCAGGGCTTGGGTGGGCTGCAGTACCACAGACCCATCCCTCCCCCAGCGGCCGGTGTGGGGAAGCTGGGCTGCTGCGTCATGGCCTCAGCCTCAGACATTCGGGCATGTAGGCAGTTTTGGGAAGGCTATGCCTTCCTTTGCCTACATTACTAACTGCCAATGCTTGAAACCGGCATGAATTCTAAAGTTGTCAAGATGCTAAGGAAGCTATCGAGGAAGAGAAGACAAGCAGAAAATCGTAATCACTCTCAGTAAACCAGATAATGGCAAATTTCTAGATGCCTCCCTGTCAAGGAAAAACACACACACACGTCATTACAAAGCAAGCAAGTAAAAATATTATTATAGTTTTAATTCAAATTCTTATAGTTTCTTTTAAAGTCATATGTACACAGAACTCATTCAATAATGTTCTCAGTCTAGTTTTACCTCTACTGAATCCACCTTTTATGAGTTTCTTAAAATAAATGTTTTCTTTTAAGTTCAGTTACATCTTACTTACACCTGTCCAGCTCTAGAACAGGGCTGAGACACATGGGTACAGCACCCTTGGAAGCTTGTTTGGTTTTTGTATGTACTGTGTTTGTGTAGGTTGAGAACTTTAGTCTCGAGTGCTTTCATGAGCGGGAGACTCATGCCCACATACAAAAACCAACCAAACATAGCCTGAATTCCTGATGTGCCAGGAATCACAGTTCTCACCAGCAGTTTGCCTCCCCAGGGAAGTATTTGGGTAAACACTGTCAATTCATATAATCATCTCTTTATTTGTTCTATTGGGCTTCTAATTGTTAGCCAAGATTTCAGATTCCTTTAATTTCTTTTACATATCTCAGTAATCTTTATCTGTCTTTATCTGAAGAAGCATAGTTAAAGATTATATAGAGTTCACATCCACATTTGTTTCCTTATATCTCAGTTAACTCCTCTTTCTCTACCGTCTTTGGTTTAACTCCTCTTTCTCTACCCTCTTTCCCCAGACACGCTTCCCATGCTGTAGCTGGGAAGGGAGTGGGTATATCAACCTTACACCCAGTGGCAAATTTCGAGTTAGTGGGGCCCTGTCCTCAGCTTCATTTTTTGGGGGCCCTAGGGACCCAGACAAGAAAAAGAACATTCACTCTTCCCGGCCCTCTCATTTTACATTCTTTTTTCTTCACCTTCCTCCTATACTATAAGTAATAAGCAGTAAATGAAAATAAAGCGAGGTGCCTTGATTGTTTTTGTACTCTAACTTTTTTCCACAGACCACTTGAAAATTGCCAAGGGTCTTGGTGGACCACTTAATCATCTTTCCAAATGTTGTTTCTACCTTTAGCTAACGATTGTCAAGTGCTTTGGCTAAGAACAATTTATATACAAAAACACCATAAAAAAAACACCTTTCCTCAGTCCATCTGAATGGAGTTCTTGGAGCACAGTTTGAGAACTTCTGGTCTAGATGAAAGCTTGTGTTTGCATTAAGCTAA